ATGACTGATGTGACTGATGTGACTGATGTGATGGTCTATGGAACTTAAGGGAGTTCGTTCAACCGAACCCGGTGTCATCAAACATGGCTTTCCGGAAGATCCCCTCATTTCTAGACGTTTTTCCCATTTTGGTACATTCCAATTGCTATGTTTGATTGCCGGATGGTGGCAATTATACTACACCAACAAGTCATGGTAATATGGAATAATGTGGGTAAAACAATGCCATGTTTACCAGCCATGACTGGGAATGGATTGCACATAGCACCTCCAAAAATGGTGGATTTTCCTGGGGAAAATGGTGCTCATCCCCGCTGGAAATGGATGCTGCTTTTGACTCGCCAAAAAACCATCGCTGGCCGATATGGAGTATCTTCACCATGGTGTGCAACGTTGTTGTTTGGTGGCTGACCATTTTTGAGTTTGGCCAGTTTGATGGCTTTTGATAGGGCAACACAGCGCTCTTGCTGACCAGTTTGATTGGAACGTGGACTAGCCAGTTTTAAAGTAAATTTACGTTCAGGCTTATCGTCGTGCGTCGGGATGAACGAGATTCACTATTTGAAAAGATACAGGTACAAAAACACATGTGTTGATCATTATTTGCATGATAAATATATGCAAATATGAAATATACCCTCTGGTAATTTGTTACATAGCCATGGAAACCATGGCCCATAGAAATAGATGGTTTACCTATTAAAGATGGGTGGATTTTCCATGGCGAACTGTTAGTCATAACCAGATGGTATATCAGTATATCAAGAGCATATCTGGTTGGTGGTGACTGGAACATGGCTTTTATGATGGCTTTTATGACTTTCCCATCATATTGGGAATTTCATCATCCCAACTCATGTTCCATCCCTTTTTGGGAAAAAACACCGTCGCTTCGGTTCGACTTTCCATCGCAAAGGGCTCGTGCGTATGATTACTGTATGATGTGTATGTCTTTAAATGTCTTTGAATGTGGTTGAATAAAATTTAGTTTAGTATAGTTTAATAATGTTTAATAGCATTCGTGTATATATATATAATATATATAATATATATAATCATGTATATATATATATATAAAATATGTATATATATATATGTATGTTTCTATACTTGAATGTGGTTGAATCAAATGCGTTCTCAAAAAAAAACACATTGAGGAACCGTACACTTCATTGCAGGGAGGTGGTTGTGGGTCAGCTCGCCTCAGGACATGGACGGGGTGTTGTACAAAAACGCGGCGGTGGAAGGGCGCATTGCGGCCCAGCTTCATGGTCTTTGACGGTTCCATCATATTCCATACATCAATATCTAAAGCAAAATAAGGTTCCTGGATATACTGGATAATTATATGTTCTATTATATGTCTATTATATTCCATACATCAATATCCCATTAGATGACAGACATACTGGATAATTATATACTTTCTTAATTTCTGCAGGATGTCTATTGTGGTTTCGAGTATTTTTGTGGGACATGTTCAGCGAAATTGGGTCTTGGATGGTCTTGGATGGTCTTCGTCTTCGGAGCAATGGGATGATGATCCCGTCTGTTCTTCATGTTTTTTTTCCTCATGTTTCTGTTTAACAAGGCTACTGGCATCAAGAGATGTTTTTTTTCTCTAAGAAACAGCAAGAGTCAGCTGGAGATGTTTCATTTCAATTCATTTCAGGTGTTTCAGCAACAGGCTGGTGAACAAAAAAAACAACGCCTTGTGCTCCTGAAATCAATGAGTGCCGAAGGTTCAAAGATTGGAGGAAGAGATCCTTGGTGGAGCCTAGGGTGTTTGGGGCGCCTGGGCGCCTGGGTGTTTAACGGGCTTTGAATGGTGATTCAGGTATTGAACCAACAAACATGGGGGGAAAAAATGGGGATAGTCGTGGGAATTCATCCTTCAGTAAACTACAAGATATAGCTATGGAAAATGGCCCTGTTGATGATTTACAGATGGTTTACATATATACATATATTGACATAATGAGTTTCCAAAGCGATGTTACTGGCATAAGCCAACATTTTTGCAAGTCTAAGCAGCGTATACAGATGGTTCCCGGGGGATGTTTCATACAAGGGTGAAGGGATTATTGAGGGTTTGAGTCAATGATATCATCTGTAGCTGGGATCAGCGGTCTTAGTTGCCAAAAACCTTCATTCATTTGCTGGTTCCATGCAGCCTTTTGAAACTCAAATCTCCATAATTTGTGGTGACATTCGTTTGCGGAAACGGTGAAGTACCACTATTGAATCTATTGGTGATGAAAGCCTCACCTTTGTTCTGGCTCACATCCTCATGTTTGCATGTGAAAAATCCTCATCCGTGAAGGTAACCCAGGTAACTCAGGTAGCGAACTCAGTTCTTTTCTCATCATCCCATCACTGGGTATGTTTTTTTTTTTGTTTTCTTTGGGTGGCCATACCATACTCATCTGGTTGGTGGTTTCAAACATGAATTTTATTTACCATTTCATATATGGGATAATCCTTCCCATTGACTAATATTTTTCAAGATGGTTAAAACCACCAACCAGTCATTTATAGAAACATATAGAAACTATAGCTTGTTATGATCACCTAGATTCCTAGATGCGTAACCAGCTCGTGATCGTAGGATTTAGCACAACTGGGCACAAGAACTGGTTGGTAAGAACTAACTTAATTAGGTATACTCACTAGGAACTCTAACCAAGAACTTAACTAGCATCAGGTATCATGTAAGAAACCCAAGAATAAACCCCCCAATACCATGGATGCGTACAAACGATCCCCAAATGGTCCATGGTAGGTTTATGAATTATTATTAATATATATTAATATGGGTTTACCACATCATTAACTTTTTCCCCCATGTTTTTTCACAACGAGTTCCAGCCCTTCCCCCTGCTGAAAGCTTCAAGGACTCGTCGCCTTGGCTTGGCTCCGAGCGCGTGCCAGCGGCTCTATGAGGATTATGGCGCCACCATGCGAGGAGCGGCGACAGAAAACGACGCGGGAGGGGATATGGGGAGATATGGGGGGATAGCGAGGTGTCGATATTTGAGGAGTTTGACATAGGGAATGATATGAATGATCAAGATTATTAAATGGTAGTATATAACGCGATATAACGATAATAGTAAAAGTAAAGTTGTTAATAATAATAATATGAATGTGGTGCCCGGAAACGTTAGCTCAGTTGGTGAACATAACTCCAATAACGTTTGGGTTTATGGTAAATAGATCGAACTAGTTGCCATGTTTTATAACTTATAACTTGGGGGTCACCACCTTGCAAGATTTTCTTCAAGAATCATATTTTTGATGAGCCCTTCTACCCTCTGGTAAACTAACATAGCTATGGAAAATCACCATCTTTAATAGGTAAATCAACTATAAATTGGCCATTTTCAATAGCTATGTTAAATTACCAGAGGGTAACTTTTAGTGAGTAATCGATGCTTTCAATCTATTTCAGCGACAAACACCCAAAGCATGGGATTTTGAACTCTACTCTACTCAAATTTGGGTCTAAAGGGCCGAAACTGGGCATTTTAACGAGCTGAAAAAAACGCATCGAATCAAAGCGCAGATCTTTGGATAAATTCACTGCCACCTAGATACATGTCATAGAGGACATCTACTGGAAACAGTTGATTTTCCAGCGGAAGATGGAGCTAAACCTTGCAATTCTGTTTACAGCAACAACATCAGCAACGTTGGTGGTGGTTCGTGGGGTTCACTGGGTTCACCGTTTACCACCAGTCCAGCGCTTGAAAAGTATGGCCCATGCTCACGGTCTACTAATCATAGATTTAACATTATTAACACTAACAATTAAGTAATGGCGGCGTGAGTTCAATTGCTTCAAAAAGTAGTTACCAGATTTTCTAAACACTGATTCCAACCATTAGAAACTTCCAAATTTAGACACTAATCACAGAAAACTGGATACAGGATGGGGCCCCCAAGATAGCTTTCAGTTGCCTTGCAAGTGCTCAACTATGGTTTATGGTAGATATAACTATAGTATAATATAGTTCTTGGATGTTCTTGGGCTTTATTTCATGGTTTAGCCAACGTTCACATCACTATGGGGGCCCCATGTTTTTCCAGGACTCATCACCGAGGGCCACCTTTCGACAAACGCGATCGATGGCTTCTACTGCAAGGTCTACGACCCGGTGGATGTCTCCGCAGCTCGCGAAAAGAAGGATTGGAAGGGTAGAGCAACATGGCCCGAGTTATACCAGTTATAAGTACGAATAGAAAACCCCATTTATAGAATGCTTTTTATCCCATAGAAATAAGCAGTTATAACTAATAAATGGCCATAACTGTAGAACATGGGCATTTCACCCAGAAATATGCGGGAAACGCACGAGACGAGGCAGGCGCAGAACCAGAAAAGCTCCGGAAAAAATATGAAAAAATGGTGACTTGACCAAGAACAACGGGGCTTGAAGCAAGAAACAAAAAGATATTTTTTGGGGATTCAGCCAGACATAAAGTGAGGAATTAATTATGCAATAATTATGGCCAATGACGATTCTGGTTGGCAGTGTTTGATGTCAGAGCACTAACATATTGGGGATACATTGGGATATTTAGTGTGAATATCATGGAGGTATATGGAGGTATAATTTGGTGGGATGAATGAATGTAACAAATCTAAGCACCAAAACCTGTAGAAAGCATCTAGATTGGCCATCCACCATAGTGGATATATTGGGATACTATGTGGAAATGATGATCAGGTGGAGGTATGGATTTAAAGATGAGCAACGTTTTTGGCGTGGGCAACGTGATTCAATCGGGATATTGATTTAACTTCTACTTAGTAAGTAGATTGGGATGTACTGGGGGTATAATGGAAATGTAGTCTATGGATGTCTATGGAAATTACCATTCGGCAATCAAAACATGTCACAACATTGGAATTGGATATCTCTCTCAAAAATGGAGGTTTTAATGGGAACATGGTCGGCAAAACTGATGGCTTTTCCATTGCAATGTCCCATTGCCGGATAGGTTCCACTTGTTGACCATCAACAAGTGGAGATATGAATGGAGGTTTATATAGCCAATAAAAGTTGTGATTAAAGCAACAAAATTGGACACATTCAAATTAACCGTCAACCAGTGGGGATAGCAAGTTTGGGACGCTTTCTTTCCAGACATGGCCCATATGTATCCATATGTTTCTTTGTGGAAAACCATGGTTTTGTCAGTTGATGTGGGTTGTGTGTTGAATTTCCATGAATTTCCCGTGTGGATGCATTGGATGTTGGAGCGAATGTTTCTTTTTTCCCACCGGAAACGTTGGAGTTTGCCATTCTCGCCCGAGATCAATGGGCAGAAGACAGTCCGTGCGCAATTTCCATCGTTCTCCGATGCAGAGCTTAGGCCCTGCAACCGGATCCCTTGCTCCGCATGCAGCTGAACCAGTTGAAGCAGCCTGGCTTTTTGCAGGAGATCATGGGTAGAGAGTACATATGATTACCCTCCGGTAATCAAACGTGGCAATTGAAAATCCATGCACATCCTATAGTCCTATAATGTCCTATACAAATGGAGGTTTTAATGGGAGCATGTCATCATCGAAACATGTGGATAGAATCGTTCTGATTGGCTTGAACAAATATCCGAAGTTTTAGCATGGTTTTTACGTGTTTCTTACCAACAGATTGGTCCCATTTCGGTTCTGAGTTTCAGACCTCCGACGTGGGCCCAAAAAATCAGGAAAGGCGGCGTGGAGTTTTGGTTGGCCACCAACTCACCTCAGCACTTCGTCGCCCGTGTTTTGGAGGTGTCGGATTTGCATCCGTTGTGATGTTGAGACCTTAAAGACGCAACCCGAATCGCAAGATTTGTTTTGGATATTTTTGGAGAATCCAGATCCAGATCCCATCCTTTTCATGGAAATTCATGGAACCTGCTGAACTTTGACTTTTATTTTGACGAAAAAGGGTGATTTTCAGGTGTCCAACCGTCCAAGCTTCAGCCGAAACATTCCTGGCGAAGGCTTTAGAGCTGGCTGATGACTTTCAGGTGGTGTGTCCATCTCAGCCCCTCGGCGAATCCTCGGCGAATCCTCGGCGAGCCTGGGAACATCACTTAAGGTCACATTCGGAGACTTGGGAATCGCATGGAATCGCTTCCTGAAATCAAAGTTGGAACTTTTAACATTTTGGAAGCCTAAACAAAATCACAGAAATAGTACAGTTTGTTGATTGGACATGGATATGGAGGCATTGCATTTTTTTTGGGGGGGTAGAATGGGCTGTACATCCCATTCTTTGGTCATCTTTGGTCACTTGCTTCACTCATTTGAAGCAATTTTCACGATGTAAGATGTATGTAAGATGTAAGTAAAAGCCAAAAAGATGTAGAAGGTATTAGAAGGTCATTTACCAGGTCATTTACCAGGTCATTTACCCATCCTTTACCTTATTTACCCCTATTTTTGTCTTGGGTAAGATATGTTCCTTTTTTTACGTGCCAAGCTGCCAAGGTCCAACGGTTGGCTCAACAAACCAGATCCCAGGCAAGGGCAACTCTCCGAAAAAAACGAACGGCTTGGAGACTTTGGAGGTTGTAGTTGGATGTAATTATTTAGTGTAATTATTACGCATTTATAATCATTTATATATATATATATCATATTTATTCATATTTATTCCATTTAATTGATGCCACAAGAATTTGGTGATCTTTACGGCCTATATATATATGTGTGTGTGTGTGAACAGTGGATGCAGTGATTCCTCGAAGGAAGGACATGTTAGGCCACCTATCAACTCTTGTCATGGCTCTATCAGACACCGTCAAGAAACATCCATGCGCATCTAGCCCTAAACAAGGACACGCCGCCCGCAATGACCCCGCGCAATTTCACCTTTTTTCCAGCAGCTCAGTCTTCAGTTTTGCAACCCTTCCAGGGTTTTGTGACATTCGCATTTTGACATGACTTGCATTTCCATTGGTATTTGCATGACTTTGTAGTCGTTTTCATGAATTTACAGTGGTCGAAGCATTCAATTTTTGTCCCCATACAAAAAAAAACCGAAGTTTTTATATTTTTCACTTGCAAGTCTTTGCCAACGTGCCAAGTTCTTTCAATCTTGCAAGTCTTTCAATCCCCACACCATCAGCAACGTAACAACATGTGACGTAGCAACGATCCCAGAGATCTCTACAGCGTAGCAACATGAAATGTACGAAGTGCAAGGAACGTAAACATCCCACCCCACCCCCACCACCACACCATCAGCAACGTAACAACATGTGACGTAGCAACGATCCCAGAGATCTCTACAGCGTAGCAACATGAAATGTACGAAGTGCAAGGAACGTAAACATCCCACACCATCAGCAACGTAACAACATGTGACGTAGCAACGATCCCAGAGATCTCTACAGCGTAGCAACATGAAATGTACGAAGTGCAAGGAACGTAAACATCCCACCCCACCCCACCCCACACCATCAGCAACGTAACAACATGTGACGTAGCAACGATCCCAGAGATCTCTACAGCGTAGCAACATGAAATGTACGAAGTGCAAGGAACGTAAACATCCCACCCCACCCCACACCACACCATCAGCAACGTAACAACATGTGACGTAGCAACGATCCCAGAGATCTCTACAGCGTAGCAACATGAAATGTACGAAGTGCAAGGAACGTAAACATCCCACCCCACCCCACACCACCCCACACCATCAGCAACGTAACAACATGTGACGTAGCAACGATCCCAGAGATCTCTACAGCGTAGCAACATGTAATGTACGAAGTGCAAGGAACGTTAACATCCCACCCCACCCCACCCACCCCCCCAAAAGAAAACACAACACGCACATGGCACATCAAAACACGCAAACCGCCTGGGGTCGTTAGAGGCGGCGTGAGCCTAAACAAGAGAAGCACAGCCAAAGAAACCTGGAGGATGACTCTGAAAGGAAGTGTTCTCCCGCAATGTGAATCTCGTCCGCGAACTAACTTGTACCACCTGCCACCTTTCATCTCAGTATGCAAAAATGCCTGGCACACGGTTGAGCGATTCCATGCCATTCGACGCAATTTTTCAGCACCCAGCTATTTCTTCTGGCTCAGCCTGGGTCGAGAAATCCTCCGCACAGCCATGCAGGTACTTTGATCAGCTGCCCATGGGCCGTTTCTTTGACGATTCCCCGCAACACTGCAACGCCTGGAACGACCTTCGAAGCGACACGCCAGCCTACCATGTGGCACGGGAGAGATGGGGAGGGGATGCGGATGGCACGGTGAAGGAACGGACACAAGAGATGTGTGGGGAGGCTTTTCGAATATGCTTCGGGAATGTTAGGGACTTGTGACTTGTGTCGTTTTTGGAAATGATGTGGTCGAATGGTGGTGTTCCTTCAATGATTCAAGGGCACCATTTGCAACTCTGAGGGTGAACATTTTTTCGCGTCTGCTCTTGACTCGCCCAATGTTGCTATAGGTTGCAACGTGAATTCAGGCAAGATCAAGATTTTCTAGCATTTAGATACTGTAGTTGTATTGACATATATATCATATATCATCATCAATCTTTTTGGTCATTTTAAGCAATAAGCTACCCGAGATAGTGGGAAACCAGGAGACGGATGTCATGACTCTTGTGGCCGACGCCCTGGAGGCCGGGTTTCATCAATTCCGGCAATGGAAAATCATGGAAAATAACCCGTTATAGAAATTTATAGAGGATACCAATGAAGGTTTAACATGGTTTAATGGGGAAGATGATTTCATATTTTTTCGAAATAACTTTAAACTGACATCTAGACTGTGGGACCACACGATGGCGAAGTCGGTTTGCAACCCCCATGAAAACTATAGTTGCAAGTAATAAACCATAGTTATTGGACTTATAATGACTTATACATATGTTCAACTTAGCTATGGGGGCCCACTTTGTAGAATCTAGACTGGATGAAGCTTGCCTAATTTTCTTCCACTTCTTGCATGGTTCTCCTGTATTGAAAATAGATTTTGGCCATGGCCGACAATTGCGATCGCAGTTGGGGAGAGGTTAGGAAACCAATCATGGGAGTGTATTGGGTTTCATGCTCACACTCTTAGAATGTCTGTGTCACATTTTGGTATTGACATCAAAACGAGTAGATGGTCTAAATGTCAGGTGAACAAAGACATACGTACTTATATATATATGTTTATCTAGATAGATAGATAGATATATAGATAGATAGATAGATATATATATATATGTATATATATGTATATATATGTATATATATGTATGCGTAGATTACAACGACCTCACTGTGACCTCACTGGACTCGTGCGAAAATTTTCAGGGGAATCATCCCCAAATGACCCAAGAATCTGTGGATGGCTGTGTAGGTGGTTCCCCAGTCCTGGCGTTTGCAGAAGGCTCCCTACTTACAGGCGCTGCCGTGCCGTGAATTTATCATGGGATCATGGGAAGATCTGGGATATTCATGGAATATGGGAGAATCTTGGGATATTTAGCCTCTGGTTATTTGTTACATAGCCATGGTATAAATGGCTCATAGAAATAGATGGTTTACCTATTAAGAATGGTGATTTTCCATGGCTATGTTAAATAACCAGATGGTATGATTTATGGATATTTCCTATCGAGGGAGCAAGTCGGACCCCGAGCTAGTTGGAGCTACGAATTGAGTGGGCCCCAGCCGCATCGTGGCAGAGATTTTATGGCGTTTTCGTTTTGCCATCAGCAATTTCTTGTTCCTGAAGAGCATTGATTGGCACGTTTTATGGTGATTCACCAGTAGTTGGTAGCTCCACTATTTTTCCGTTTTTTTTTCTGAAGCACGAAAATTTAGAGCCCCAAATGGATCAATTAATTGATCAACATCCCCCCAAAAAGTGCAAGGTCTAATATCTCAACATGAGGTCCCTTGGTACACAACCCTGATCCAACACGGTCATGGCCAATGGCCATGGAAATAGTCGGCAAATGATACACTATATAAATAAATATACAATTATACACAATATAAATAAATATATATATATATAATATAACATATTTAATTGTATTTAACAGAAGCATCATGGGATTTCATGGGATTTCATGGGAAGATCATGGAGGTTTTAATTGGAGAGTCCTCTCTTTCTGTGGGTCATTTTCATTATTTTCCCATGGCTATTTGTCAAATTACCAGAAACTAACCTGTTCAGGGCCAGCCCAAAAACTGAAACATGTTGACGACTTGAGTAAGTTTGAGGCCAAAGAGCTTGATGACTTGAAGAGCCTCAATCAGGCGCCCGGCTAACGTGGCGAACGACCCGAGAGAAATCCAGGTACCAAATGTGGGTTTAACCATGAAATATAGGCTTTAACCAGTGATTGATGGATTTGGGTGTGTTTGAACATGGGTTTTTTAAAATGGCAATTTTTCATGGGGAAGATGATAAACCAGTGGATGAAATGGGGTACTCTATTTTCAGTCAAACTCATATCCAGACTTTGAGGCAGTCATTATATAATATTATATATAGTCTTCAGCATCTTCAGCATGATGCATGATGGATAACAATTTGCATATATGAATCAAATTCACAGCCAGGTTCACAATTCAGGGGCGGAATCAGTTTTCTGTTCAAGTTTTCCAGAGAATCACAGCTAGATCCCATGGAAATCACGTCATGTTGAGAGTTTATTTCCACCAACATCACCAACGTTACAGCGCGACGCCAGGATGTCTTAAGACGTCTCCGGCAGGAACTGGCAGCCTTCAAAGGTCTTCTGAAGGGTTGGCCAATGTCACAGCACCATGATTTCGATGCAAAGCCTCAGTGCCACCGGTGAAACCGCAACTTGAATCCAGTTGGTTATTGGCTTTGTTTCAGTGAACATGTCAATTTTCCGGACCCCATCTTTGCAAACACCTTGAACAAACCTTTTCGCCTGATGTTTCCTATTCTCCTTTCATGTGGCTGAAATTGGCAGGTGAAGAAATTCGAGTCTTGGACTTGGGCTGCGGCTTTCTCAGTATGTTACCGCTGCTCTTGGAGCAGCTTGTACCTGCAGGCGTGGCATCCATGATAATCCATGATCATGGGCGCTACACAAGGTGGTGCCCCCCAGTGGTGAAACGTTGGTTTATAATTTTTTTTATAAACCATACTGTAGTAATTAACATATAGTAACTATATATAGATTTAACAGCTACCATACAGCCTAGTTATCGCTAGTGAACTCGGAGTTAAACCTTCACCAACTGAGTTTCCAACGAAAGGTCACCACCTCGCATGGAAAGCAAACGTAGCTTGAAAATCCCCCCAGATCTACAGGTCTACAGTAAATGGGAACATCATCTGTATACAAATGGTGGGTTTTCCCATGCTATATACCTGGAAAAAAGATAGGTTTATAGCTGGAACAATCATCGAGCTCTTTTTTTGGGGGATTTCCAGCTCGCGGCTGCACACAAATATTTTAAACCACTCAACAAATTGCCAGTCTGTTGTGGGTTGAAAAAGAACCAATATGTTTTTGGTACCATAGTAGTACCCCCCAAAAAGATGCCGAAAAGATGGAAACGTAATCATCAAAGCTATATCCTAGTACATCATAGTACCCGTATATAGATGATGGCGATGATGGTATAAATTTATAATATTTTATAATAACTCCTAAACTAAGCACAGAGTTGGTTGCTCTTGGCGCTTAGGCAATTCATTTGTACCTGTTTCTCGCTTCGTGAGAGTGAGAGAGAGAGAGAATTACCCCATTGATATTGAATATCCCCTATTATATCCTCTAATGATATGTCATATCCCCTAGTGGTATTCCCCTCAGCCTTAGCTGAACCTGCGGGATGGCGATGGAGAGAGAGATGAAAACGATGAAATATCCCATATAGATTATAGATGAAATATCCCATATAGGTTATACCTCAGTATAGATTATATTAATCTCAATATGAATCCCCAGTGATCCACATGGTGAAAGCACCACGTTGGGAAACCAACGACGCCCCGCCAGGTGCGCGGCTGCACTACCTGGGCGTGGACCGCGACGAGGAGCTGCTGACGGCGGCACAAGCACGGCTCGAGAAGATGGCGGCACCGGAGCTGCAGGCGGGGCTGCAGGTGATCCTTGAAAGGATACTTGGGGGTGCCGGCCGCACTTAGGAAATGGGTCATACCATCATACCTTATTATACCCCTAATAAATGCTAATTAGGTATAATATATATATATAATTTCAATCGCGATTTCATTTTTGGGTGTGTATGATCCTCATTTCTGGAGATGGGAATGGGTGATTTCAAACTGCCACAGGTGGAGCTGCAGTTGCTTGGAGAGAACGGATTTTGGGTGCTGGTGGACTGTTTTGACCAACAAAAATTGGATTTGATGCAGCAAAACATGGTGATTTTACCATCCCTACCCCCTTAAGGTGGAAAAATGGGGGGACCTTCGGAAAATGTAACTTACATTTTTCAGGGGGAGCGGGGGGAAGAAAAACATGTAAATTACATTTTGCTAGGGTGTTTAAATGAGGAGGGGTAAAAATGTAAGCTACACCCCTCCTAGGTATGGTTTGCTAGTTATGGAGGTCATTGTCTACATAAAACTATATACAATCATATATGGGAAAAAATGGGAGGGGGGGGCACACAAAATGTAAGTTACATTTTGGAAGGCCCATGTTAGTCTAATATTAAGGAGATTGCCAAAAATATAACTTATATTTTCCCAAAAATGTAAGTTACATTTAGGCAGAACCCCCCGGTTTTTTTTGGGGACCTCAAACATGTAACAGAACATCTTCTAGGCTTCAAAATCACTGGGAAAAAACAAATGACATATTACATTTTCTAGGTCCCTACCCGTGAAAAATGTAAGTTACACTTTCCAGAGGTCCCCCCCCATTAATTTGGTAGGGATATTTTATCCACAAATTTGGGGATTTGTTGTAGGACTGAGCCAGCAAAAGAATGCAAAAGACAAAACGCTGAGAAACATCTGGATTTCGCCACAAGAACTCGGCAAACCGACTGATGTGACGGTTGGGGGATAGAGGTATCGGCACTTTTCCGGTGAGGCTGAAAATGAACCTCTGTGTAGGGTACCCAGGGTTAGGAAAATTGACTCCCTTGAAGTACATTGGGGTTATGAGTGGCAATGTGATGCCCAAAAGGGTGATGGGGGTGACCACTTGGTTTCAATTGGGCAACAAAAAGCTGCTGCGAATCTGCGGACCGTTGATACAATGATGCGCCCACAACTTGGGTATTTGAAGTGTGGTCACAAGATATGGGTATGGGTCAAAACCTACTAATCATGTGGTTTTTTAGGGATGACCATCAACCTTGAAGTTCACTGGGGGTACAGGGTTTTGACCCACATCCATAGACTTATAGAACTTCTGATACTTCTGGCTGCGAATGGGGGCCCATTCTTGTAGGGATTCTTTAGCCAGATCTGAGGTGCGCGGATGCCGTGAGCGCAGTGAAGACCGCAGCGCCGCAAACCCTGGCTGGGAACTCGGAGAATGGCATGGAGTCCATGGGAGATGTGTCTTATGTCAACCAACAGTGTTCAATAATATACCCTCTGGTTATTTTATCATAGCTATTGAAAATGGCCATAGAAATAGTGGATTTTCCCATTAAAAGTGGTGGATCTTTCCATAGTTATGTTAGTTTACCAGAGGGTACAACCAACCCCAATAAAGGTCAAGAACATAGATAGATGTCATGTTTTCCGTTGGTTGATTACTAAAGGGGTCATCCCCAACAACCAGTAGGATCCGATAGGTCCAATCAATCGATTCGAAGCCGGTCCATCTATTTTTCCAACAAGGACATCATTATCATTCATTATCATTCATTGGTCAAAAAAATCCAATGATTTAATTGGTTCTTACACTCCATGAATTCCGTTTGATCACGGGTCCTAGAGGTTGACTCGCCCTGGTTGCTTCCACTGGAAGACCACTGGAAGCCCAGGTCATGGGCTGTTCCATTCTAGACCTCATTGACGTGAAGGCTTTGGCACTTGCCCTGCGCCAATCACAGGCTGCCTTGGGAGATCCCCTGGGTGCGTTTGACGATTCGGAAATCACCTTTTTTTAGCGCTTCAAATGGGAAAATCATGGGAAATACCGGGAAAATCATCGAACTAAATGCGGGCATACTGTGGTATCATGGTGTAATCTGGGATATAATATAGATAACCAAGAATCAATGGCGGGCCGCTGGGCATTTCTCTATACTGTAAATGAAGCTTTTGTATGGGAAAATCATCGAACTAGATGGGGGATTTGTCAGCAAGCCATGGAGCTGATTACAGGAGGCTTTGGGAAAATAGATGTCCTATCCTGATGGAAAATGTGCAGGAAAACCCTATGGTCAAAACATGTAGTTTCCTGAACATGTTCCATTTTTCAGCAGTCAATTGATGGAAAATCCATGGAAACCCATGGGAATTTCCAATTTTTCCCTGGCAAAATGATGAACAGAGGAACAACATGTAGGGATCTTCCGCGCACCAATGGTCATCCCCAGGACGTGGTGAACGTAAGTTTGCCAGGAATTCTGGCAACATCAATGTAAGCAGTATGCAACATATATATTTTATATTTCTTTTATGTAAGTAACATAGTAATAATATGTAGCACCAATTTCATGTCGATAGTTTGCCTTTCCCCTTCCCCTGAAACTGGCCTTGCTAGCAGTATGTTGTCAGTATGAGAGGCTGGCGCATTGCTCTATTTTCCCATCCATTATGCGGGCACAACCTCCTTCAAAGGGTCGCTTGGGCCGTCAACTTGCGGTGAACATGGGTGAATGACGATGCCATCCTTGACTTCCCACTCCACAAGTTAAAAAACATCACGCACACACATATCTATATATATATATATATATATATGTATAATATGATTTATGTACGTATAATATGATGTGATATACTAGGCCAAGAACTCTGGACGTCATTTGGGGGCATCGTTCACTGTCCCAAAGGGTCTGCACGCAAGTGCTTCACCTCCCAGGTAGCAAATCCGGGTTGTTCACCAGCAAGATTTGCAGGGTGTAGCCCTACACTTGGGGGTAAGTTCACCATGGTTTCCTGTAGATTTTCCCTGAAACCAATTCATTGACTAGCATCTTTGGTTCCATAAAATCCCAATTGATGATGGGTTCTTCCCTATTTTTACCAAAGTCAATCCCTATACCCCTTTGGTAAATTAACATAGCGAACTGGAAAATCACCATTTTGAATGGGTAAATCCACTATAAATGTATAAATGTGCCATTCTCAATAGCTATGTAACAAATTACCAGAGGGTAGTATGAACTCATCTGGGGTTAGACTCCCAGGCCACTAGCTGCCATGGCTGAACCCTTAAGCAGCCGCTACAACGAGTCCTTAGAGACGCGTGGCCAGGCATGTCGATGAGTGGATGAGTGGTGAAGTTTTTTGGGGAAAGTCTCCTAAGCCTTCATTAGCTTACTATTTGGACAAATTATTTGGGAATATTATATTCTTGTTTGTGGTTTGGAAATGTTTGGAACATTTTTTATTTTTCCATATGTTGGGAATAATCATCCCAACTGACTAATATTTTTCAGAGTGGTTCAAACCACCAACCAGTATTGTATATTGTGAGAATTAACCTATGAATATTAACATAATTTACCCAGATGATATGTACATGTGCTACATACATACAATCATACATACATTACATTACATTACATTACATTGCATTGCGTTACATTACATTACATTACATTACATTACATACGTACATACATACATATATATATAGCATATATAATTTGGGCACTTGGTAGTTAGGAGTTAGCAACCTTCATGCAACAGCACTATGGATGACGTTGCCGAAGATGGTTTCCTTTCCGTTTCGGATTTGTGATGGCATGCCCAGATGCACTGAGCATGGGTAGTATGCGGTTTTTTAAAGCCACAACATGAGGTTTTAACCAGGAAATGCTTGATACAAGCAGCCATTCATGGGGATTTTACGTGCTAAATCTGAATTTGCGGATGAGTCAACAGCTCTCATCGGAATGGGATGAACTCCCAGGTCCATTTACCAGCTATTTTGGTGTGATGGCTTGACGGTTTCAAGCTGAGACCGGTTTCTGGATGGGTCCCCAAAAAGAGAGGGAACAGGTGAAGAAACCTGGAAACCCTGGAAATTATAAGCATCATCTACTGCAATCTACTGCATTAATCCTCCTGGAAACACTGTTCTATCTTATTTTACTCTTAACTTTATATATAAGTGGGAAACATATATTTGAACGCTGACCAGCTATGTTTTTTTTTTTGCAGGGTATTGACATTAATTGACCGTGCATTGGGGATGACAAACCCAGCTTTCGCAGGTCCGGAATGTCACTGCGCTCTACAGCTTCTTGGGGGAAGAATTGGCCTCAGGCCTGCGGTCATTGGTGCCACACTCGGCTGATGATTACAGGATGCTGCCACAGAATTAAATAATAATTGGTTACCCTTTGCTAAATTAACATGGCTATGGAAAATCACAATTGATGATGGGTTCTTCCCTATTTTTTCCAAAGTCAATCCCTCTACCCTCTGGTAAATTAACATAGCGAACTGGAAAATCACCATTTTGAATGGGTAAATCCACTATAATTACTGTAACTGTGCCATTCTCAATAGCTATGTCTATGTTAAATTACCAGAGGGTACTGAGTTTGTTTAGTTTATTTACAACTAGTTTCACTACGGTTTATGGTGAGTATAAACTCTAGTTAGTGGGGTAATGGTAAGATTGACAACTACATCTGGCGGAATGAGTTGAAGCCAACCGTCACCAACGAGTCTGACACAGCCCAAAAGGCTTTGCTAGTGCTACATACAGCATTTCATCTATATTACCCTCTGGTTATTTAACATAGCCATGGAAAATGGCCCATTTATAGATGATTTTCCCATTAAAACCTCACCTCCATTTATGAGGGATTTTCCATGGCTATGTTAAATAACCAGATGGTATATCAATCAAGTCGAGTTATATTTACTCGAGATCGTCCAGTTGCGTATTCTTGTGGGAATGCGGGCAAAATCGTCGATATTTTTTTCCCCAGTTCAGTCGTGCCAGTTCAACGACCAGTTCAGGACTGTTTTTGGCGCCTACATCCTCATGAGTGGTACTTTGGTTGGTTCCCCTCCAGTGTCATCAAATGTGGCTAGCGGGGAAATTTCTAGGGAGGGATTTTCCAAGCAAACCATATTCGATGACACTGGAGGGCACATGGGGATATTCATATTCTTCAAGAAATTGAGGCTTAAATACCATGAAACACCCTCGTTTCATGGGATTTTGGATACTTTATATACTTTGGATAGGAGTTAGCTATTGAGACTATCAACATCCAAGTGGTATTTTCATGGGATAAAAAACTATCATCATGACATCATCCTGGATGCTCCTCTGAAGGCCCTTCAGACTGGCACCTCAGAGGCGACAATCTCCTGCTGAAACAGCTGGGACCGAAGCTGGGGAGCCGGGCTGGGTAGCGGTGGAGATCAGATTTTTTATCAGATTGGCTGGGATCGATTTCCGATGATTTCTGGATATCCTTGGCACTTCGGATGCAACAAAAATAACAAAACATGAGGGGTAAGAATAGAACTCATTTTTAGGGAAAAAAGGTTGATTGAAACAACGCAAAGATCACAAAGTGCATGAATTTTGGCTATACGCTTGAAGTTCTTGCGGCGAAAAAATGGGTCAAGAACCTGCCCCACTAGCAGTTGAATGGACCGGTTGAGTAACAGAATAGGCGTATCTATTTGCGTCCATGCGAATATCATGCAGCTGAAACAAGTGAAAACATACACGGTGATTCCCTATAGGTGGACATTGGACGGGTAGCGGTAGATGACTTCGCACGTCATAGTATACGAAAAAAGTGATGGGGAGATATCTCACTCCCATCATTCAGTCAGATGGCTCAACAAACTATTCCGACATTTTCCTGCCACTCGTGGGAAAGACGAATAGGCCCTATGTCATGTCCCTTTGGGAAAAAATGAGACACCAACAGTGGCAATGGTCGACCCAGTGTTTGCAGCTTGTTGATCTGTTCTTCCTCAAGCTTGCTTCAAATTGCCCACTGGTCGGTGATATCACATATAACTCATCATTCCTTTCCGTCTTTGAATTGAATGACTACAGCTGGTTACAGCACTGAAACTGACTGTAGCAGTGGGCCGCTTGATGGGTACCCTCTGGTAATTTAACATAGCGAACTGGAAAATCACCATTTTTAATGGGTAAATCAACTATTTCTATGGCCATTTTTAATAGCTAACTGTTAGTTTACCAGAGGGTAGAGCCTGGAGATGGGCCAATCTTTGCACTGCTGAGGCTGATCTCGTTTATGGCGACCAATGCCTTAGGTTCCTGGGCAACTGCTGGAGAACTGGCTCGTTCCAAAGGCTGATGAAACTCATCCAATGCCAATGATTACCCTTTAAGGTAAACTAACATAGCTAATGCTATTGAACATGGCCATCTATAGTTGATTTACCATGATTTACCCATGAAAAATGGTGATTTTCCATAGTTATGTTAGTTTACTAGAGGGTACCAGAGGGTATCTCCAATTCTGTGCTGCAGTTTTGGTGCTTGCACTATGCCAAGTGGATCCAAGTGGGCCCCTGGGGCCCCTGGGCTCAAGTCACAAGGACCTCGCACGGAAATGTGGGCCCCTGTCATATGACTTTGGTTGCACTATCAGACACTATCATTTGCCACACCATTTTGACCTGTGTGTATAACTATAAATATCATCATATATGTAGGCACGGTCCAGGCCTTTCAAGAAATACATTCTCAAGCTAGTTTAAATCATGTTCTTTAATAATGCAAAATAAACCATTGTTTAATACATCATTGTTTGAAAGATACGCATCTTTAATACGAGGCAATAGTCCATTGAATGCAGGCTTCTATTACCTATGAACATTCATGAATCATGAACGACTCATTGTTCAAACATTGTTTTTTCCCATTATTCTATGACATGGAAATATAATTCCATAATTATTTAATATTATCCCATATTATCCCATTATTCGTTATTTAAACTATTTTCCCATGACGGCCCACGACGGTTGTTTCCCTGTTAGTTATCGCTTAGGCTTCCAGCCGCTACAGACATTGCGCGAGGCTGTCAAGGCCTTGCGGTTTCTTGGCACCGAAAAAACGGGTGGGTTTCACGTGGTGATCTAAGCATCCAAGATTGGGATGTAAAGTTTGATCCAATTGGTGACTACTGGTGACTTGATTCCTTTAAGTCACTCTGATTGATGTCAAGATTGGGATGTAAAGATTGCAAAATCGTGAGTTTATAACTGATTTACTGTAATTGAGTTATGGTTATAATATGTCCCATTAGAAACCATCCATGTTAGGTCACTCCCATGACTACGGACCCCCCCCATTGTGAACAACTGGGATTTCACTTCAGAGGCGAAATGTGTGTAAGACTAAGATTGGCTGTGATTTTTGGCAATGTGCCGATCAAATGATCCCTCCCCAAACGAAATTTTGGTAACCACATGCCAAATGCGATGCACCACCTCACTATTCGTCAGTTTCACGCACTACGGATCAGAATTGAGTACCCAAGACCCGGATGATTCGCTACTAAAGATGGACCAAAATTCGCGGCCCCTGGATCTCACATTCTTGACCCATACCCCTGTCATACATAGATGATGGATGATGGTGGCAAGCATCCCAGAATTTTGACGGGTTGACACTTTGGATCTATATGTTTAATTCCCAATCACCCCACAGATATCCATGTTTTTTCCAACATTTGGGCATGTTTTTGGGATGCAATCCCAAAGAAGTCCCAATGTTTGCTGGCGACGTTTAGCGACTTTTAACATTTGGTTGCTTAAATCCACAGTAATATGTGTTGATTGCAATCATTTTTTGTTTGGTTTACAGTCTATAATCATTTTATTGAAGCACAAAAGTCGATGGGTCAAATCCAAAACTGCTACAAGGTGGGGGCAAAGATCGCCAAGTTGGGGCTTGCAACTAGGCTAGCTCTGGTTGATGATATATATATATATATATAGATAGATAGATAGATAGATCGATAGATAGATAGATAGATAGATGAGATTTCTATGTACCCTTTGTTGTTTTAAGGTAGCTATGAAAAAATAAGTTTAATAGGTAAATGATCAAACCAAACGAGCCGTTTTCTATATATATATATATCTATGTGTATATATATATATGTTAAATTACAGGACTTACAGACCAAGAAACATAAGAAACATTCCCTTGGAGCAGCACCTTGTCCCAGTCGCGATGCCGAGGTGTCCCTTGGAGCCCAATCAGCTGCTGCCAAGTGTGCAGCTCCATGTCACGAACGAGCCTTGGCGATGTCTTATGGCGATGTCCTCTGGTAAACTACATAAAAACCATCATGAAAAAACTACATAGCGGAAAGTCTGGACCGTTTATAGATGCAATAAACCCTCTGGTTATGACTAACAGTTTGCCATGGACCAAAATGGAAGCCATGGCCCATGAAAATAGATGGTTTATCTATCAAAAATGGGTGGATTTTCCAGTTCGCTATGTTAGTCATAACCAGATGGTACCAGATGGTACCTATAGATGGTGTACCATAGGGCATCCTCCTGAGGTGATGGGAACATATGGGAACATCGGAAACTCATCGAAGGAAATGTTGATGAAACGCTGGAGATTTCATGGGTGTCTAGATATGATAAGATGGAATAGCCTCTGGTAAACTAACATTTCAATGGGAAAACTCACTATAAATGGCCATTTTCAATAGCTTTTTGTATGTTTACCAGAGGGTAACTCACCAACATTCGTGGCATGAGAAGTCCAACGGATCCAACTCGATGGAGTTTTCTCAGATCATCCAACTCGATGGCAGTTCATAGAGATGGCACACGGTGCAGCAGGGCGACATGGGAATGTCTAGGTATATGAGGTTTCCATAGTCATGGTGGTGCCCCAAAATGGATGTTTTTTTTTAAAAAAATCGAAAATCAAATAGATCATTTGGGGGTACCCCCCATTTCAGAAAACCGAGGAAACCGCCATATGATGATTATCATAAATAAGTCATGGGAATAGAATGGTTCATGAACTTCGGATAAACCCTGGATGGGTATTTTGGCACACATTGATTTTGCGCTATGGATGTGGGTATAGGCAGCCCCCCAGCCAACGAGGTATATTTTTCCTGTGGTATCTAAGATTTGCCGGATAGGATTTAAATGGATTTAACCAACCAAAGACGATTGACGAGTTTAAGCAAGAAACAGATTGTTCAATACGTCAGATGTTTTTTTGCTGTCTTAATTTTGTGCCTTGACATAGATCGAGTTTGCATGAGGAGCCGCGGGGAACTACAAATTACGTCCATGGTCATATGAAGACATTGAGATGATGACACATATGGGTATGGATCAATACCTATTAATACCATTTTTAGTGGGATGAACATCCATAAATCCCAGCTATTTTGATGTGAACTACAGGGGTACAAGGTTTTGACACACTGCCATATTATTGAGATATGGAACTCACTCTCTCTCTCTCTCTGTTGACACATGTACACACGCAAATACCCACACAGCGTGCTTGCGGAGAATGTTCGAAATAGCCATCATCCGCCATCATTTGGAGAGAATTTCCCTTGAAAAAAAGCCGCTTTTCCCAGCCGTGTTTGTCATGACACGAGAGGTAGACTACCTGGGCCGTGTGCCCAAGACCGGCGCTGTACCGGGAGCAACTTCGGGGGCAAAGACCAAGGTGGACGGTCGCAACTGGAACGTCACCCTGGTTTTATATCTGGGCGAAAAAGTGGTGGAACAATGAAATCTAGTGGAACAGAGTGGGATATTCACCATTGCGGGAATTTTCTGGTTGGTGGCTTCAAATGCTTCAAACATTAATTTTATTTTCCATTTCATACAGGGGATAATCCTTCCCATTGACGAACTCAGATTTTTCAAGATGGTCAAAACCACCAACCAGTTTTGTTTGGAGTATTTTGGGGAGACTTGCCGGCTTCCAGGCCGCCGCGCGTACACGCCTGGCCGTGCAATTCACAGCTCCTGGCATTGCAGAAACCGTGCGGGAAACGATGCCGCTTCCCGCGGCAGGAGAGGTGCTGGTGGTCACCACGATGTCGGGGAAGCTTGGAAAGAGCGTGTTTTTTTTGGAGGGATGGGAGTTGGACCGAAGAAATTGGGGGAAAACAGGCAAGACACTACTGTAGACACAGTTGTGATTTCAGTTGTTTTTTTGTTTGAGTGGACTTTGGCCAGAAATGTGAGGAAATCATTGACGATGTGTTGCTTTTCAAATCAATTTTGCTATTTGGAGTGTGGACAAATAGGGGCTTGACCAGCGAAGACTTTCATGTTTACCTGCAGAACACGGGATTTGAATGGATTTGAATCAGCGCGAATTGGACAGAATATAGGAGATATCTGCCAACAAAGTTACTGTAGATCAAAGTTTTCAATTCTGGGACAATTGAAGCAACAAAACAATTGACCAGTGAAGCAACAGTAAACTCTTTTTCAAGAACAATAGTGAATAAAACCAGTTCAAACAAAGAAACAAGATACCTATAGCCGTTTTTCACCAGCAAAACAGCGAAATTGCAGAGTTTTGGGGTCCCAGCTTTGAAAGATCATGAAAAAAATGGCCCGAATGGCTGGTTGTTGTAACTTCCTTGAGCTCTCAGGATTTCTGCTGGCACTGAAAGGTGGGCGGCCGGGCACCGGGCCCTGATTTGTAGTGGGCTGTTTTGGGCCCCGGTGGCTTGACCGCCAGCAAGATTTCATCTATTTTCTTTGTGACTGGGGATAAAACATCAACTGGGGCTGATAGGCCCAAAATTTGCTGCCCTGAGAGGGATCGCAGAATCTGGGAAAATCGTGTGGACACCAGGGTCTTTATCCTCACATACAAGGGTTTCAACTAGTTTCAACCGTAGATGTTCCCTTCATTTCGGCATTTCTGGGCGATGAGCCTCTTCTTTATAAATCCCATTAAATACCACCAAAAACTAGTGAGGCCCCCCGGGTTGTAAGTTGGTTTATAGACCCCATGAACTAGTGTAACTAGTTCCTTACTCATAATTTATATCCTTCAATAAACACTAGTTAACCATAGTTAACCAATGTTAACCATAGAATTCTCCAAGTGAAGGAAGCCAACTTAGCATATTTCGCTCTTCTTTGTAGGCCTCATACTAGAACCGCCCCCTTCGCTAGGCGCATGCTGCTGACGGGCTGCGAGGAGGGGGAACCCCTGGATAGCAGCCTGAAGGACTTGCAAGGAAGCGGTTGGCCTTTGAGGCGCCGAGAGTTTTTTCCCACCTGGCATATTGCAGGTCTATACACACAAACGTATATACATACATATTATATATATATGTATACATACATATTGCGTGCGTATAATCAATGATACATGTGTATATATAATATCTAAATATAGTCTGGCGAGGTTGAAAGCACCAATCTTACTTACATAGGACGTTCATTGGTTCTCGTGTTCTTTGAGAAAAAAACACCTGGGACACTTGGAGGTGCCCGTTGAACTAATATGATGGGATAAGGGGTGCTTGTGAAATGGATGAGGGGAGGTTGATGTAACAGCAATATGTATCTAATAATGATCGGACGCCGTCAAGACTGCGAGAGCAAGGTGGTCAAGCCTGACCAGTATGAATCAATTCATGAATCTCCATTGCTGAGATTGCAGAAAGATGTAGGTAGGATATGGTAGGATTATGTTTGGAGCTCACTGCTGTCACCGTCAGCAGCCATAATATGTACAATTTGACTGGATTTGTTTTCGGTATACTTGGATGAACTAGGTTTGCTATCTACCACATTGGCTTGATCATTCTGAGTAGATGGCTGTTCCACTTTATTTGTTTGACAGCCTCACGGGGGGGGGGAAAAACAGAGCAACAATAAACATCTTAAAGGATCCATAATTGATGGTCCAATTTTAGATTGATTTATGTTGATTGCACATGATTGCACATGTTCGTTGGTTTGGCTAAGTTACCCTCTTGAAATTTAACATAGCTATGGACATCACCATTTGTGATAGCCAAATCATCAAACTACACGGGTCATTTTCCAAAGCTATACTAGATTATCGAAGGGGCAGCCCCATTGAATCCCATGTTCGTTTGGTTAAATCCCATTGAAGCCGCATTTTTGCCGGTTATTCAATCACAAACTGTTTGTTGGTTTATTTGGGATTTCCCTTCCTAGCCGACCAGGTACGGCTACTGCTTGGTTGGCACCGTTGAGATAGGCAGTCCTAGTTTGCCGCTGGGGAGCCGCGTATTTTGCTTTCACCCGCACGTGGCTTTGGCAGAAAGCTCTTGGGGAAGCTGGGTAAAGCTTGCGGCTTTTGCAAGTATGTGGTGAGGTCATGGCATCGCTTCATAAGGCCCCCTATCGCTACACACAGTCCCAGCACCCTTTTCATCAACTAGGCAGAATCGCTGCTGGACGAGGAGGATCCAGATGAGGAATTGGATGAAGAGTCCGCGGCCTTCGCCAAAGCATCCTTGCGAGCGCGCGCCGCTGCACGAGCTCTGTTCAATCTCTTCTGTCTGCGGCGAGCCTCCTCTGCAAAGTCAGGGAGCAATTGTCTGCGCCTTTCCAGAACTGATGGCAATAGATGCTTTTGCGCCAAAAACCTTCGAGAAAGAGTATTTTCTTCATTTGGATACAGCGGTTTTGGCTTGTCAGCCCAAGCAGATTTGGAAGCACTCCAAAAGCCTCTGCGCCAAGCACTTGGCACTTCACCTTGCTCAAGCTCATAGTCGATCTCCTCCGCGGCCGGCTTGCTGCTGAAAGTGTGATTGAAAATCCTCGGTTCAGCTGGTCTCAATCTGGATGGGGCCGAAGAAAGACAATACGAGCGAGAGATCTTGAAATTCTTTGATTTTACACTCAAGATTTGGGACAGCGGTGGCACCGGAGAGTCATCAAGGCCAACTACAACATTGGGGCCCGCTGGGTTGTCTTTCTTGTTCTGCGCAAAACCAGCTCGCAAGGCAGTGACAACGTCTTCAATCTCCAGAAGATCTTTTTGGCCAGCAACAGTACGACGGAGGATAGCCTTTGTCCATCCGAACAACCTATCGATACTGCTTTTCATATGTTTTTCGCACCCAAAGTGAATTTCGATAGGTATGCGGTCATATGCATTGTGAAGGTATACCAAGCCATGAGCCAAAGATTCCATACTTCTGTAGTGTGGCCCACAGTCACTAATCAGAGCCAAGCTGGACCAAGGTTTCTTAGATTTCTTCACCTTCAAGGCAATACGTATTAACTGATTCGTCCGCAAGGCTGTATGATCGAGGATCTTAGACACGACCACAATGTATGTTTGCATAATTTCCGGCTTCTCTGACGTTGATGTGTCTGAATGCTCACAAAGAAGTGCCCCCCACACAGAAATTTCATGACGTGCCTGAGCGAAGAATTGGTCGCCCGTGGCTTTAAAACATTGCGGAAGGGTTTCTAATTCCTTCCAATCAGAAAGTAAACATGCCATTCCCACCGGCGGGTTCTCCAACAGTTTCGTGATGGCAGCATGCTGCGCTTCTTTGGCGGCTCTATGGTGCAAATAGCCAAGCAACAGCTTCAAGTGCGCGTGGAGCTCATAGCTCGCGGCCGCTTCAGTGTTGTGAAGCTCCAGGCGACTATTTTGTGGGAAACCACTACCACGTTTGCGAAGATCAAACTTTCCACATGGAAACAGTGAACCTGAACCTGCATGTTTACGGCAAGGCTTGCTTTCACAATGCAATTTGATGAAATGCTCGAGTTCTGAAAGATAAAGTCCCGGCTGCTCTTCGAAATTCAACCCGGTCAAAGCAACAAACGAATCCCAATCTTCAAAGTAGCAAGGCATGATGCAGGACAATTTGTCTTGCCAATGTTTCATAGCCTTTCGTATTTCGGGAAGCACAGAATCCTCAAGGTGAGCACAATGTTGGCACCAATCAGTAAGGGTTCGAGGAGTCTTATATTCAACCAGGTGTCTGCGAAGGATGCGTCGAAAAGTGCGGATAGAAATTTCACTATGGATAGCTGCTTCTTTCTGGAAAACAGCTGTCGGGTTGCTGGTCAATGCGTTTACCACACTCCAAGTCTCACCCTTCTGACACACAGAAGAGGAAGGCTGGGAGTTCAAATCGAGCGCATCTTGCACCATTTTGATCGTTTCCTCACAGTTGACTTTGGAAGGGCGCCCGCCAGGGTTGATGGTTTCATCGGGGCAACCTGCCTTGCGCCAGCGAATGTCTCCCATGGGGTAGCCAAGCCTCACAGATTCTTCGCGTGTGCTCACCAAACTTCGGATTAAGCAATCGACTTGGTGCTGCACAGTACGGTTCGAGGTTGACAGCTTTGCTCCCTGAAAAGCTTGCAACTTGCTCAAGCCAGACACTAGGCTGCAACAACGCTGGCACTCATCACCAGCACCAGAAACCTTCGCGCATCGCTGACTGAACAAGGACAAGCTTCCAGGCCACTCCTCCTCTGCTTTTTTAAGGACTTTCAAAAGAACAGTTAAAGCATCTTCTTGCGTCGCTGACTTGCTAATGTTTTCCCATAAGTTGGCCACTCTGCGTCTTACCTGCTTGCTTTCGACCTCTGATAATGGCGCCCACTTGCCGCTCTTGCTGCTTTGCCTAGGTTCGTCACCGCATACGTCGTCATGCTGTCGTTTCCCAGAAGGAGCTTCAGCAGCTGGCCTTGGTTGGCAAGCAGTGAAGGTTAAACAACTTGCACATCACTCAGGCAGGTGGGATGAGAAAGACAAGAAAAGAAACAAGGCAGTGTACAGTGAAACCCTGTCTGGATTGAACCCTGTCTGTCAGCTAATTGAAATAAGAAACCTAGGGTACCCTAGAATTCGAGCCACTGATTCTTATTCCCTTTGCGATGGTATCTCCAGGGAAATTCAAAGTTTTACTTGATCACCGAGACTGGCGTCGACAGCTTCAGCTAGACACCAGCCGGACTCACTGCAGGTCATCTGACCTCGGAGGCTGCCCTTGGCTTGTGTTGGCTTGTCTTGGCTTGTCTTGCCTGTGCTGCCTTGTTTCCGGCGCCTTTTTTTCTTTACCCCGGCTCCTTTGCAACCTGAATCGGCAAAACCCTCAACAAATGAACCCTTTAAGAACTAACCCATTAAGAACTTGAGGGTGCCCTTGTTCATACTTCCCATATTTTTCCACCTATAGCATTTAAGAAACCCAGGGTAGGCTGGAAAATTCTTGATCGGTTCTTATCTAACGGTTCCGCTATAGCTCAGAAATCATGCCTGTGAAAGGTTCAGATAAGCACTTATATGCCACTTAGTCACCTCTCTCTTTGGACCCTCTCACCCTCCAAAAATGGACACTCGTGCACCACCAGACCATTCATGTAAAGCTGTTGCTGCTCGACTGTCAATTTCCCCCAATATTCTGCAGACAAATGCTGTACCAGCCAGTCTCGCTGTCGGCTAGTTATAAGCACCTCTGCTGGACGATTCCCATGCCCCACAGCTAGTGCCACATTTGGTGTTCCAGGAACAGCTTCGCGGACTGCAAGGAGCAACTTCTCCCTAACAGGTAGACATGTGAACAAATCGTGGAGCAAATTGCGAATGCCTGTGAGCGTCTCTTTGGAACGCGGCATACCTCTAGAAGCTACTGACGTGTGCAAATAGAAAACAAGTTGTGTAGTTTCAAGTGACCATGTGGGGTACTCCCTAATTTCATGGATTTCAGGTATCGCTCTGGGTATCGAGGGGTATCGCTTCGGGCATCGCTACGGGGACCAGAAAATGTGTGATCTCAGGGGTATGTTTCAAGTGACAGGAAATTCTGACAAGATGATGCTGATGATGGTGATGATGTTGATTCAGATAGTGACATTGCTGAGATATGTTGAACAAACATCCTTGTGCGGTCAGGAACGCTTCTCCAAAGCCACTGTCCAGGAGTAGAATTGCAACGTGCACCATTATCAAGCTCATGACCCCATCAAGGCAACTGAAGCTGTGCTATGGTCAAATGGTCAAAACATACTCAGCAAATGCGCCCAACAGAAAGCTAAGACTTTGTAGCTGCGCGCTGCTTGTTGCCTGACCCCATCAAGGCAACTGAAGCTGTGCTATGGTCAAATGGTCAAAACATACTCAGCAAAGGAAGTTTTCCTATACAGGCGAGTCTTCGACTTCCACACCTTCTGAAACACTGACCAAGGGTGTGGTGTCTCTGGCACCTTGTCAGTGGAATCATCAGCATCCTGCTTCCTAGGCCTCGGGACACAAACTCGGCAGTTGCAAGAATCTTCGCTGTACATCTCCATGCTCTGTGCAAGCTCAGCGCGTTTGGCCTGGAGCAAGGATTTGAGTTCCGGCATCTCTTTCAGAACCTCGGCATTCTTTGTACACTTGAGCTTGATGGCAGCTCTGTTGCAATGGTAACACCAAGACCCGGTGACGACACCGTTGTCTTTCATAACCCACTTGACAGCATGCTTCTTCTTTGTACAGATGCAACACTCGTTGGCAAAAGACCACGCTTTGCGAGTCTTATTGCCTTTGCTGGACATGGCATTCGCAACAAGTTTCTTCATGCGGGCCCGCTGCTGGCATGTCAGGGAAACTTTGGGGGCGGCAACATCAGCAGCATGCTCGCACGGCTGGTCAGCTGTGGCTTCCGCAGCGTCAAGCGGTACAGCTGCATGGCCAGACCTGACTGACTATGTGACAGTTTCAAGTAAAAAAAATGGGTGATGCTCATTCATCTCTGCTGGCCACGCAACTAGATTGATGGTTACATCTCTATGACTGTTGTATCTCTATTGTCCATGGCGACATCTCTACATCCCTCTTTGTTGGTGGTTACCTCCCCTTTTTTGACGGTTACATCCCTATTGTTTATGCTTCATTCTCCTGTTTGTGGTAACATCCCTATTATGGATGGTTACATCCGTATTCTTGATGGTTACATCCCTGTTATGGATGATAGCATCCCTATTATTTATGGGTACATTATGGCGGTTACATCGTTACATCTGTATTATCGGTGGTCAAGTCATATCTTCATTATGGAAGGCTACATCCCTATTGATGGTTACATTCGTAACATTGATGGTCAAAATTCTTAGTATTGACGATTGTCAATTCTGATTATCTTGGTGGAATCTGTCTCAAAAGCGGCGCCGCAGCAGACTAGCAGCTCGGATATCTCACCAACGTCGCCACCGCTATGATCAATTTCAGCAGGTGCGTCTCCAAGCCTGTGTGCCGGAGGAACAAAATAAACAAACAGCAGATCGCAGCAACGCGGCTTGCGGGTTATTTTGGTGCTGCTTCACTGTTTCAACTCTCAGCGCAGCTGAGCAGCTGTGCAATCTCGTGATCAGATACAGCAGGTTGCGCTGCATCTTGCGACCCAGGCATCTCCCCGAACCTCAGATAGCTGGCAAGGCAAGCTGCAAACCATTAGCAGGATATGCACAGAGGTGTAACCCCATAGCAGGTGTTGAAGCTATATCGTGACACTCCCGGCCCTCGTCCCATGATTGACTAGTAGCTCAGACAGCTCACCAGCAAATGCAGCAGGCACTTCGCCAGCATCAACAGCCAACGCTCCAGCAGTTGTGTCTTCAAACCTCGCAACACACAAGATTAAAACCGTACAGGCTACAGTTCAAACATGCATGGCAGGCTTGCTATGTTCCACCTGCACTGCTCTCTGACCCGCTGGCAAGGAACTGCACCACACCGTCGGCGATGGCCAGATCCACAAACGGCGCTGCAGTCTCTGTCGCCGGCGGCGGATCTTCGAACCTGCAGATGGAGCAGAAGCTGATGTCAGTGGTGCTGCGTGTGTGTGTGTGTGAGTGTCCTTATTGTTATGGCCTTTTACCAGTCATTTATATCTTTATAACACCATTTGTAAAATTACAACCCCATTCTACCCCATTTTCAACCATTTATACCCATAAATAACTGGCAAAAGGCCATCACTGAGAGGATATATTGGGATCTTGTGGATTGATTTGATGGGGGTGTGTAGAGATTTAATGGGATTTGATGGTGGCACTAAAGGTTATCACCGCTTTGAATCTCTATTCGGGGTTGCTTGATTTGATGGGGATATCCTAGAATTTAGAATGGAAAAATATGGGATGTATGAGGGCTAGGATTCTCAAAATGGAGGGCATGAAAATGTCTACTACTAATAGGGGGCAGGCAGCCCCAGTTGCTGCGCACATTGCGCTTTGCCAGGCGTCGAAGCCTCAGCAGGCACCTTCTGAATCTCCTTCTCACCGGATGGTGCATCTAACGCGATGCGCCGCAACTTTGGAGCAGGTGTTTGCACCTCCTCAGCGGGCACCATCTGGCACCATCTGGCACCATCTGGCACCATCTGGCACCATCTGGCACCATCTGGCACCTACCACCACCACCACCACCACCACCACCACCACCAGCCAAGGAGCATCAGCGTGTCGAGGTAGAAGACGCCAAGGCACGACCACCACCAACAACCACCACCACCACCACCACCACCAACCACCACCACCAACCACTAACCACAACCACCACCAATCACCAATCACCACCACCATGATTCCCTATAGATCAGGTTAGACTATTAAGAGCAAAATATCTTATATCCTATTTTCTATCCAATAGTCAGGATGCAAATAGGATATACATAACCTACGCATAACCTAGAAAAAGGTTAGGTTATCCTATTTGCTAGGAATTAGACAATAGGTTAGACAATAGGTTATCCTATTTCCCAGAGTTTAGGTTATGCATATCCTATTTGCATCCTGACTATTAGATAGAAAATAGACTACAGATAACCTATAAGATATTTTGCTCTTAATAGCCTAACCTGATCTATAGGGCTAAGTATACTCCATGTCCAAACTCATGTTTCCCTTAAAGATTGCGCTTTAATCATCACCTGCCCTTGCCACAACCAAAATTCACCACACCGCCAGCGTGGAATGCAAGGCACGGCATCCGTGTCTGTACCCACCAAGTCCTTGAACTCAGGTGGAATATCGTCGATCTCTGGCTTGTCGCTGAAACCAAGCAACCATCGCCAAGCATCCCGCTCCTCCAAGTGGAAAGATGTCTTTCTTTCCCCTGGACCAGGATGAAGCCGAAAAGCCTGCCACCTCTCACTCCTAAAGGGCGAAGAATCTTCATTTGGTCTCCCCTAGATCTCTTGGAATGCCATGTTTTAAAGTAAAAACCATGTAAAACCATGGTTGGACCCTTGTATCCTGAGATCGAATCGCACCCGCTGCCGCTTTCGCACCATGATAGGCAGCTGCGTTTTGACCAAAAAAGGCTACAATGGGAAGATTCAATCATAAACAAAGTCTAAAAAGAGGTATCGCTACATAAGGCCCCCTATCGCTACACACAGTAAATCACATATTTTGAGTAGTGATGACCGATCGTAATTGAAGCCTTTCATAGCGTCTTTTGACCCTTGGGCCACAACTTAGATTGCCTATATAGATTTACATGGGCTTGGGAGTTATATAGTGATATAGTGAAAGCAACCTGGCTTAGATGGCCAATTTTTTTGTGGTGGAGGCAGGCAGTTCTCCCGGCAGAGCTGTCCATCCCACTAGCGTGTGATGGTTGGTTCATAAGGCAATAGACACGGGCATACCGCATTTGATTTGGTTGAACATATAGTGACCTCACCGTGACGTCACTGAAAGGATGTTCCGTGAGGGGAAGGTTTGATAGTATATACCCATATATATATACCCTCCATCAAACGTTCAGGGACGCCTAGCCGCTAAGCCAAGGCAAGCCATGCAGTGGTGTCCGAAGACAGCCTGCAGATCATCCCCGATGCGACTGGGGCTTTTTTTGCTCGTAGGAGGTGACCGTCGTGACCACCACCATGGTGGGTAGATTCAGCAAAAGAACCATGGGATATCTTGGGATAATAACCCATATTAACTATGTATAATATTGTATAATAACCCATATGAATGTCATATTACATATATTAATATGGATAATAACCGCCATGGGTTTATGAAAGGACTATCGCTTAAAGAACACCTGAACCCCTGAACCGCGCGTTGTATACCCGGGAATGTTTTGTTCAACATGGAGCCATCTGGAGCCACCAAATCACAAAGCGGATGTTTCCGTATCACGATATGCTTACGGACTTACGGATGTTGCCTCTATACCCATAGGATCCATGGTGCTGGTATATATGCTAACATTGGGGGTATATTGATGGGATCCATTATACCATATATAGCAGCACCATGGATCCTATGGGTACTAGTAGACTAGAGGCAACATGAGATGGATCTTGCTTTCAGCTGCGAGGATATTCCAGATGAAGATGCCATTTTCTTTGCCAACATGGAAACTGCCTGTGCCCTGTGCCAGGCACCGGCTGGACAATCACATCCGTTGCGTGCAACACGCATACTACAAACAAGGGCTTGACAGTTGGTCATTGGTTATATTTGGTTGGTGCATGTTGGTGCTTCAAAAAATGATTATGTGTTGATATGTTTTTTTATTTTCGCAAAGTGTGAGTTTGTTCAACTAGTTGCCTACAGACACTTTTTGAAGTCTCACCGACTCTAGATATATGTTGCAATCAGATGGGGGGAAGCTGTAGGGAAAGTCCAACTTGCGTTCATGGAACTACATTTGTTGAACCGTCAATGTCCAAAAGAAAGCATTATGAAACATGATAAAACATAAAACGATGTAGAACCTAATGATGGTTGAAATCCCTATTCGTTTCGTTGCAAAAAATATCGCCAGATCGCAGCATCCCCCGGGAAGGATGCTGCGCCCGTCCTGGGCGAACGGCTCGGCGTTTTCGGCGCCGGCGTAGTGGGTGCCCTGACGGCAGCGCTGCTGTCGAGATTTGAGGCCATGGTGTCATGGTGGGCCGGGTATATAGCGACCTCACGTGACAATGCTGGGAATGCTGGGAATGATAACAATGCCAATGGTCCGTAACTCAGAAGCTTTCTAACTCAACTTCCTATTTGATTACTGCATTCTTTACCCCCAAAAAGCTGCTTCAAGTAGCCCCTGGCGCCGTGCTCCCCGCGTCATCGTTGCAGGTCACTGTTTTCGACCTCAACGACCGGCGCCTGCAACCGCTGCGGCGCTTCGGGGTTGCCACGGCCGCGAAGCTCGGCGCGTCCGGCGCGTCCGGCGCGTCCGGCTTCGACGTGGCGCTCGAGCTGAGCGGCGCCGGCGAGGCGCTGGGGCAGGCGATACGAAGTACACGACGAGGCAGACTGGGACTGGGGGAGATCACCACAACGTGAGATCCAGTGCTGGATGATTATTGGATGGTATTTCATAATATTTAACATATATATATATGTGTGTGTGTGTGTTTTAATAAACTAACCGTAATTAACTAACCGGCATTAAATGGATACCGATGATCATCATCATCATCAGCAGCATCATCATCATTATCATCATCATATATATAAACACATTTAAATCCCCAGGAATGGTGACAATGATGATAATGAAAACTGTATATCACAATGATAATAGTTGAGGAGTGGTATCATTATTCTCGAACAGTCTTCATTATTCTTATTTATCACATTATAAGGTCCGAGGCCCCCCAGTAATGATAATAATGATGATGATAGCTGTTGGATAATCACCAGTAATGGATACATATTGGATAATTATGATGCGTAATTAATGAATAGGATGATAGTCCATAATTGTAATGTTTCACCCACAACGATCATCATCTTTTTGGGGCTGCCAGTACTATCTATAGATTTATATAAACAAATGGGGGTATCTTGGGGAATAATGAAAAATATGGGTAATAGTCATAGTATATAATGCAAAGTAATATAAAGTAATGATAGTTAGGGGATGGTTTGATCATAGATAATAATGGTCAATGATGGTTAGGGAATGGTTAATGATGGATGATTAGACGAGTATATATAATGTTATATATTATATAGTATATATATGTTATATATATATATATGTATATATGTTAGTTGATGAAGGAACAAGCTGGAATTGTCCACGGAAAGTTCTTCGGTATTTGATCGGGATCCACTCATCGTTTTGATTCATGTTGACAAAAACCAGGGATGCCAGTGATGAGGAATCTGTATGGGTTTGATGCTGGAAAACAGGCTATCCATGGCTATCCCCAAATCTGGTTCGAACATGTTCGAAATTTGATGTTTTTTTTGAAGTTTAGAAACTCATTTAAGCTTAAACTATCTCAAATTACCAGTGGGGGCCCACATGGGCTGTACGGGGGGTCGGGTGGGGCGGCTGGTGATGTGTTGGTTCCTAGTATGCTGTTTCAACCATCAAAAAAGGTAGGTGACTGCAATCTAAGACCATCAATAATGCAGAGTTCCCACCGAATAGCTGACATTTATTGATCTCGGACAATCGATTCGATGATGTAGCTGATATAATATGATATAATCCCTTCCCCCTAATATTAAACACCCCCTTAGAAACCATGGAATAGTAGGAAATTTCCACATTCCATTGGGACCATGCAATTGGGGTGTTCAATACTAGATGAAATTAACTGATCGATATAACTCCTAAATTACCCAACATTTATGGATGGGATGGGGATACAGTAAGCTTCACCTCAGCTGTCAGGTGGGAAAGTGGTCGTGGGCTCGCTGCAGCTTGCTTGGAAGTCTCCGAACTCCATGGAGATTGAAACAAATGAGAAAAAAACCATAGGAAAATTATGGGAGAATGATGATTTTCAATGGGAAATCAGGGGATTTTATCATCTATAAATGGATGTATTTTTATGGGAAAATCATCCATGAATGAAGGTTTTTTATTGGGAAAAACATAGAAGCAAATCATGTAAATCATGGGAACGTCTCGTTGGAAAAATCATCGAACTCAATGGTGGTTTTGATGTTTCTTGTATCTTTCTGTCATGTCCTGTCATGTCGGACATTTCATGATTTGGGGTTCCCGGTTGGGGCTTGAAAACTACACCTGGGTAAGGGTAGCCACTTTCACCAGCGGGTTGCTCCCCTGCGGGATTCATAAAATGTTTGCTACATTTTACTGTTTTCTGTCCATGCTTATCTCTGTTCTCTAATCCGAAAAACCTGGTAAATTAACATAGACCCTGAAAACAACCCATTTTTAGTTTCATTTTTGAAACTCAACTTCCAATTTCTTCCAACCCTTGGGACCCTTGGGGTCGAACTGTGAATTACTGGAGGGCTGGTTGGTGGTTTGGAACATTTTTTTTCTCCATATATTGGGAATGTCATCATCCCAACTGACGAACTCATATTTTTCAGACGGTTAGGTCAACAACCAACCAGCCAATTTTATATTTTTACTTTAAGTGGGTGGTATAATGAACATAAGGCATCATATGGTCTATAATAATTTACTGGAGGGTATCGTTCCCATCCAAGGTACGGAAAAGAGGAGGTGTCGCTCGCCTTGGGCCTCTCCTTTCACCGCTCGGAATTGACTTTGCTGACCTCACAGGTGGGGTGAAACCCGTCCCAAGTCATGGGTGTACCCGGCTATGGAAAATGGCCTAGTTATGATTAAAAGGGGTGATTTGAAAAATAGTTATGTTGAATTACCAGGGGGTAATGGCAATTTACGAATATAAACATAGCTATAGTTAATTTATAGGTAATTTACCTCTGAAAAGTGGTGATTTGAAAAATAGTTTTTTGTATGTTTACCAGAGGGTAGCTCCCCAATCATCCAGTCATTAGACCATGACTTAGTATAGAAAGCCATGGTTTCGAGGATGCCAGTTTGAGGAAAGTCTCATAGTTTGGAAGCACATTTGAATTTCCCTCTGGGAATCAAACATGGCAATGGAACATAAGGCTGAAACGTCCATTTATAGGGGGATTTCCCATTGCCATGTTTGATTACCGGAGGGATTGATATAATTGACATTTAACAGGAATCTATAGTAATATATATATATATATATTATAGAAACAATTTAATGGAATAATGGAATACTCTAGGGTAAAAATGCTAAAAAGATGTGGAAAACTCATGGCGAATTTTGTTTTGGAAACTGATCTGCATTTCTGGTGTTTTTTCCACAATGTTTGTTTACCCTAATAAGGTAAGTTGGACTGTGAGACTATAGGGGATGACAATAATATATATAATATAAAATAGCTCTATATGATCTTCAAGTATGTTGTTGCTAATGGTTGATAGTCCATATGATGTAATATTATTAATAGCTATAATGGTTCTATGATGTTGTATTCTTTGGGGACAATTGAAATGCATAGAAACTAACGAAGCTAACATCCATTCGGTTTTGGGGTAGTTGAACATGGATCTAGTCAAGAGATATCAACACATCTCAAGATATCTCGAAATCTTAATCTATCTCAAGATCAACCTTTGTCACCTTTGAATTTGACACATGTGAGGATATTTCATCTGTGTGTAATGTGTATGATGTGCGAATTTTAAACTGGTTCGGTGGGTTTTCGTGCCACGGCTCTGCCAAGCCTCAGCGCTTCGGTGGGTGACTTGTCTCGATCTTGGTGCCCTATGAGATCCAGATTCGGAAAAACGCACCTATTTTACTCACTTAAAAAACATGCTTTGCAACTGACATATCCCATGACGGATCCATGGTGCTGCTATATATGGTAACATGATGTAACATGGATCCCATCAATATATACCCCCTTTATGTTAGCATATATATACCAGCACCATGGATCCTATGGGTATACACAGGTTCCTAGTTTTTGTGGTGTTTTTTCCCATGCCCCATTGGATGGTCGTAAATATTAGTGGTTTCATCCCAACAAAAACCATGGTTTCTGGGGGTGTTTCATATGAAAGCATCAGGACACTTCCAAGGATTACCACCCATCCCATAGCTTCACCAGTTACCTCCGGTAATCAACCCTGGCTGGAACACCGGCCATTGAGGTTTGATGATTTTCCTATTAAAGACCCCCATTAAGTTCGGGGATTTCCGGGATTTCCCAGCTATAAACCTCTATAAACCTCCCATTGGTTCGATCATGTGAATCATGTGCCATTGATTTTCTATTTTCCCAGTTTTTTGAACCTCCATTCATTGGTTTTATGGCACTATAAACCTCTATTTTCCCAGCTTTTTGAACCACTATAAACCTCTATTGTTTCACCACATTCTCCCAGATTGTCCTAGCGGTTTTTCCCATGAAAGGCTGGGAGGGTGGGATTTTCCAGCCAGTCGGCCGATGGGCCATCATCCCTGATCGGCCTCGCTAGGTGAGTTTCGTGCGCGCTGCGTTGTCCACCCGCTGGAGCAAAGAACGTCGCGCGGAGCTGTCCTGGCAGATGCTGCGGCAGCTGCGGCCCAAGGTGGATGCCGATTACTGGGGTTTAGCAATAGGATGGTTTAATGGATTTTTATGGCAAAGTTGAATCTAGTGAAGATATAATGGGATTTAGAACCATGAAGTTGATTTCTGAGTCTGATTTTCTGATTTAACCTACAATGTTGTGGCTACTTTAACGGGGAATATGATTCATCATCAATTTTGGGAGTACTTAATCCAACGTCCTAGAGCGGGAGGCGACGATCTGCAGAAGCCTTCGGGATCCAACCTATGGTTTTCTACAGGGTTTCCCTGAAACCAATCGATTGAAATGGGGAGAATTACGGAATATCGAGACCAAATCATCAGATTTTGGTGTAGCCTATAGTTTTGTTCATGCTCATCAGGAACCATTGCAAAACAGCCGCTACAATATGATGCTCCTTCTTACTGAGATTGGTTGTTATATAATACATAGATTAACATGGGTTTGTGGTAGATATACCAATGGCTTGAGGGGTTTCTAAAGAAGACCAACTTGCATAACTGGGGGAACAAAATATTTGAATACATGATTGCATAATAAATCATGTCAACATCACGTGGTGATTGGTTAAGATGTTAAACCATCATTTTCAACGGCTATACCAACATCATTAACCCAACTCACCAAGACCACCAGCAGGTATCTCAGAATCGGTTGATGGACAAATTCACAGGCAACCCGTGTATTTGGAGGCAAACACCGCGGTTTCCGGTTAAGATGTTGCCAGTAAATCCATCCAGAGAGACTATCATGTTCGGTGATGAAATCACCAGTAAAATCAGTAAATCCCATTAAACCCCTCTTGTTGATGCTTGATTCCTCAATGTTTTTCTCAGAAAATCCCTGTTGTTGATGGTTGTTTATCCTCCACTTTCGGGGGATATGTGTACTATTTATAAGCCAATTCGCCAAGGCAAGGTGGTGCCCCCCTATGTTCGTTGGTCTACTAACTCACTATAGTGATAGTCAGCATAAACCCAACAGTGCGCCTAGTTATTTCCACTCACTTAGCTACCATGAATCAGCTATAAATCCCATGAAATCTCCATATTTGTTGGTTCAATCAGCCAGTTCTTGTGGTTCAATCAGCCAGTTCTTTTAGTTCAATCAGCCAGATTTTTGTTACAACACACTAAATTTTGTTGGTTCAATCAGCGTTTTTTTTGTTCTCAATTTTTACTGCTTCAATCAGCCATTGTTGTTGGCTAAATCTTCAGTTTTCTTTGTTCAACCAGCTGACCCATGGAATGTCACATAGAGTTGTAGTGCTTTCCATACATTTTCACAGCATACAACAGGTTTGGTGAGGTCTGTATCAAGGATGAGCTTCCGTCCGTGTTTCAGTTCCTTCAGGAGTGGATGGACCTGCGAAAGGTCTCCGTTCGCGAGGCGCCCGAGGTCTACCAGCGCCTGGCGCAGGGCGCGGCCAAGGATGACCCGGCGCAGTGGATCTTCAGCTACGACAGCTACGACTGAGGTCGAAGTCGGGATGGATGGATGGATGGAGTTCCATGGTTTTTACTCAGCTATCCTTGGAGGGTAGAAAAATAGAAAACATTAGAACACGACTTTTTGGATTTCGAGGGTGACCTGATATAAATCATGGGATTTATATGGAAGTTTATGGGCTTTGAAATCATCGACACTGGGGATGCTTGATGGGGATTTGGGCAAGTCATAGCAGTTTGACCGGCCGAGCCCGCTGAAACTTGGTGAATTGTAGGTTTGGGACTTGTTGCAATTTTCGCAGATGTATTGAATTACTGGTTGTATTCAAGAGTTTTCAGAGTCTTCCATTCCTACCTAGTAGTAACACAGAACCATGTACTGGTTGGTGGTTTGGAACATTTTTTATTTTCCCATATGTTGGGAATAATCATCCCAACTGACGAACTCATATTTTTCAAAGGGATAGGTCAACCACCAACCAGCCAATTTTATGTAGCAGCCACCATGGCATACCGAATAAGAAACCATCCCATGAACCGACCATGGGGATCATACAGAATATCAACTCATGAGCTAAGGGTATACCATTTTTTTGAACCTCAAACCTGGGGATTCTAACATAAAATTGGATTCACCTCATTACAAGGTGATACGCCCCCCCCCCCAGTGATGTTTGTTGGGTTAGAACCCCCATTGATACTATCGATATAATCATAGTCAAAATCCCAGAAGTTGAATCATAGATATTATGATATTATCATATAATATCATATATATATATATATGTAATTATATATATATATATCTAATTCTATCTAATCATAGATAAAACATATATAGATATCATTAATCATTTTAGATGAATCCACATTAAAACCTCCGGTTTTTTTGGGGTAAAAACCACATATCCAAAGCATCCAGAAATGGCTCCTTTTTCTTCCACAGGCGAGCTTCGCGCGTATTGAGAAGCGGTTCAGAAAACGGTGTGCCGCTGCGGCGAGCCGTTCCAGAAACTCAATGTGGGCAGCAGGAAAAAAATGGGGGTTTCCCATAAATGGTGGTCTCCTGAAAATCCTGAAATAGATGGTTTATAATGGAACATACCCAAAAAATGGATGATTTGGGGGTACTCCCATTTTAGGAAACTTTCTTCTTTAAAAAACAGGAATGAATTCTCAGAACGCATGTTATAGGAATCAGGAATGATATCATTTTTGTTATTAATCAGGAATATTTGCGGTTTCTATAACCTTGATCCGGAATGATATGTGTGGACCTACGGTCACCATGGTCATTCTGTTCAATTTCTAGTAAAACCCATGAAGTTTTAATGACTTCTATACATTTCAAGAACATGCGGGCTTCAGAGTAACATCATACTTCCGGCTCATTGCATTTCTTATACAAGTACTTGGGGGTGCTCCACCAATAAGTGGTTGATATTTCATTTTTTTTTGGGCCATTGTAGGGGTCCCATATCCCAACTTATGGATGTCAGAAGCCCACAGTTATACCCAGCAAACTTGACCAAAATCTTTGGGACATGGGCACTGGAAGGCCCCAAACGATAGGTAAGTTGGCAAACATAGCCAGGCTAACTACTGGTGGATATATATATATAATTTAATATAATATAATATAATATAATGGTATTATATTTATATATATAAACCAATATATATATATCTAATATAATAAATATATATATATATATATGTGTATATGTATATACGCCAATATATATAATATTTACCATATCTAAAACTTCTATAGCGTCTTCAGATGGATTTATCAACAAACTTTACTAACGCTTTTGGCCCTTCGGCAAGGCGATGGCCGCGAGGCCGGGGCTTGCAATGGATGCTGCTCCGTCCTGGAGCATATATCAGTTATACCCGGTAAACTAACAGTTTGCTATTGAAAATGGTTATTTATAGTTGATTTACCCATGAAACATGGTGATTTTCCATAGTTATGTTAGTTTACCAGAGAGTATATAGTTATAAAAGTTGTATAACTATCATTAACTATCTTATATCTGGTGATGTTCGCTAGGCCAAGTGATAAAATGAGGTTCCACTGAAGAAAGTTAGCAGCTTAGTGGGCTATTTAGGTCTGTCAGAAACCGAAACAACATAGAAGCACGGGAAGGCTTACTGTATTTGGAATCTCTAAGGCCGATTGGCCATTGGAGTTGTAATCTATCGGCACATTGTCACAGCAATAGGGATTATTGAATGGATTTTATCCAACAATATGCCATAGAAATTGACTGGACATTGCATATTGTTATTATTATTATTACTACTATGATTTTTCCCGAGAGCGTCTGAGCGCAGGGTTCTTCCAATAGTGGGGGTCTGTATCTCATCTTCTCATCTTCACATCTTCTCATCTTCACATCTGTATCTCATCTTCTCATCTTTACATCTGTTCATCTTCATATCTTCTCATCTTCACATCTGTTCATCTTCACATCTGCTCATCTTCACACCTTCTCATCTTCACATCTGCTCATCTTCACATCTGCTCATCTTCACACCTTCTCATCTTCACATCTGCTCATCTTCACATCTGCTCATCTTCACATCTGCTCATCTTCACATCTGCTCACATCTGCTCATCCTCACCTCTTCTCTCACATCTTCTCTCACATCTGCTCATCTTCACATCTGCTCATCTTCACATCTGTATCTCATCTTCTCATCTTCACATCTGTTCATCTTCACATCTTCTCATCTTCACATCTGTTCATCTTCACATCTGCTCATCTTCACTTCTCATCTTCACATCTGCTCATCTTCACATCTGCTCATCTTCACACCTTCTCATCTTCACATCTGCTCATCTTCACATCTGCTCATCTTCACATCTGCTCATCTTCACATCTGCTCACATCTGCTCATCCTAACCTCTTCTCTCACATCTTCTCTCACATCTGCTCATCTTCACATCTGCTCATCTTCACACCTTCTCTCACATCTTCTCATCTTCACATCTGCTCATCTTCACATCTGCTCATCTTCACATCTTCTCTCACATCTCTCTCTCTTTTCTCTCTCTCGCCTTCTTTATCTTTCTCTCTTAAGGCCGAGGGTGGTGCCGGCGGCGAGTCACGAAACGTCAACCCTTTCGCACGAAATGAGGGTCGATCGGCAAAAACTGAGGTAAAAGTGCGATTTGACTTGTCCCGGAGCAACCCTTTCGCACGAAATGAGGGTCGATCGGCAAAAACTGAGGTAAAAGTGCGATTTGACTTGTCCCGGAGCAACCCTTTCGCACGAAATGAGGGTCGATCGGCAAAAACTGAGGTAAAAGTGCGATTTTACTTGTCCTGGAGCAAACTTTCGCACGAAATGAGGGTCGATCGGCAAAAACTGAGGTAAAAGTGCGATTTGACTTGTCCTGGAGCAACCCTTTCGCACGAAATGAGGGTCGATCGGCAAAAACTGAGGTAAAAGTGCGATTTGACTTGTCCCGGAGCAACCCTTTCGCACGAAATGAGGGTCGATCGGCAAAAACTGAGGTAAAATTGCGATTTGACTTGTCCCGGAGCAACCCTTTCGCACGAAATGAGGGTCGATCGGTAAAACTGAGGTAAAATTGCGATTTTTCCTGTGCCGGAGCAACCCTTTCGTCTGTGTGTAAAAGCGTCTGTGTGTAAAAGCGTCTGTGTGTAAAAGCTTCTGTGTGTAAAAGCGTCTCTGTGTGTAAAAGTCTCTGTGTGTAAAAGCGTCTGTGTGTAAAAGCGTCTGTGTGTAAAAGTGTTTGTGTGTAAAAGTGTTTGTGTAAAAGCGTTTGTGTGTAAAAGCCTCTGTGTGTAAATGTGTTTGTGTGTCAAAGCGTCTGTGTGTAACTGTGTGTAAAAAGCGTCTGTGTGTAAAAAGCGTCTGTGTGTAAAAGCGTCTGTGTGCACATGTGTTTGTGTGTCAAAGCGTCTGTGTGTAAAAAGCGTCTGTGTGTCAAAAGCGTCTGTGTGTAAAAGTGTCTGTGTGTAAAGGCGTCTGTGTGTAAAAGGTCTTTGTGTAAAAGCGTCTGTGTGTAAAAGCGTCTGTGTGTCAAAGCGTTTGTGTGTAAAAGCGTCTGTGTGTAAAAGCTTCTGTATGTAAAAGCTTCTGTGTGTAAAAGCTTCTGTGGGTAAAGGCTTTGTGTGTAAAAGCGTCTGTGTGTAAAAGCGTCTGTGTGCCAAAGCGTCTGTGTGTAAAAGTGTTTGTTTGTAAAAGTGTTTGTGTAAAAGCGTTTGTGTGTAAAAGCCTCTGTGTGTAAATGTGTTTGTGTGTCAAAGCGTCTGTGTGTAAAAAGCGTCTGTGTGTAAAAAGCGTCTGTGTGTAAAAGCGTCTGTGTGCAAATGTGTTTGTGTGTCAAAGCGTCTGTGTGTAAAAAGCGTCTGTGTGTCGAAAGCGTCTGTGTGTAAAAGTGTCTGTGTGTAAAGGCGTCTGTGTGTAAAAGGTCTGTGTGTAAAAGCGTCTGTGTGTAAAAGCGTCTGTGTGTCAAAGCGTTTGTGTGTAAAAGCGTCTGTGTGTAAAAGCGTCAGTATGTAAAAGCTTCTGTGTGTAAAAGCTTCTGTGGGTAAAAGCTTTGTGTGTAAAAGCTTTGTGTGTAAAAGCTTTGTGTGTAAAAGCGTCTGTGTGTAAAAGCGTTTGTGTGTAAAAGCGTCTGTGTGTAAAAGCGTCAGTATGTAAAAGCTTCTGTGTGTAAAAGCTTCTGTGGGTAAAAGCTTTGTGTGTAAAAGCGTCAGTGTAAAAGCGTCTGTGTGTAAAAGTGTTTGCGATGCAAACTATTGTCTTGCACTTCTCACTATTTTGTCTTGATACTCCTCTTCTCGACTGCCTATAACACAGCTTTCATATACCGTTTCTAAAATTGCATCTCCATACTAACAAGAGAAGACCCTGCTCCTCTACGCTCTCGGGCCATCCGTCGTCTAGTTGTTATTATTATTATTATTATATAAATAGATACCGTATACAGTGTATATACATACATGTGTATATATACATGTATGTATATGTATGTATATGTATATATGTATATGCATTTATTCATCTTTGTAGTGTATCTACACATATATAAACATTATATAACCGTCCATATTTCACAATAATTTCAGGTTCATGAACCTCCAAGTGCTACCACGACGTCGCCGGCATGCGGTGTCCAGTGGCTCCGAGATGCGCTGCTTGGATTGAAGCTATGACTCTTTCGTTGGTGCTGTTTTGGTGATGCAGCACTAGAACATAGTAGGAATTGAATGGAATTGATGCTTCGATTCTTATGGGTGGCTAAAGTTGCTGTTTTTAGATATTCTGTATATTTGGCGGTTTTTTGGTGATGTCACGTTGTACCGGAATGCTGGTGAATGTAGGGTATGACAAGGAATCATCCCGGATTGTGGGCCGAACTTAATTCACGTTGGTGAATTAAAATTGTCCAAATTTGTTTGTGTTCTAACCCATAGGATCCATGTATGCTATATATGGTAACATTTACCATCAATATACCCCCAATGTTAGTATATATACCATACATGGATTGTATGGGTAATAATTACACCACTTTGTTTTGAATCCCACATATCGGGAATGGAGGGCATTGAAGATAAGATGCGACCTATATATGGGAATGGCGAGCCCCTCGAATAGACCTCGAAACGACTGAGACGGAGGGCAAGGGATGGGATTGTGGCATCCCCGGGCTGGATTTCTCTAGGCAACTTGATGAATCTTTTTCAGGTGAAATCCTCGAGCTTCTAGTAAAATCATGTGGTTTGCCATGTTTTTGCCATGTTTTGTTGCTTCCTAATACATCCACATCCATGAAATCCTTGTTTTCAATCCATGGCATCCATCAGTGGCTTCACGGTTGATGTGATTCCTCCGCAGCTTATTTCACGGTTGAATCCTCCTCGAAGAGGAGTGGTGGATGACAAGCGACATCATGACCTCACCCATGATGCAATTCATTCAATAAACAAGATGGAAGCCACGAACCCGAATGTATTCACGTTCTTGGACTACGAGTGCAAACCTCTGCAATAG